AATCAAATAGTGATAATAAGTAAAATAGGCGTCACACACTGCGCTAGAGCAACCTCCGTGAATTGGATGATATCGTCTTTCCGCCAACGCCGTGTGTCAAACGTTATGCACATAGTAATAATGTATGCCTACTTGTACGCTGACATTAACCGCATTCTAAACAAATACGATACACAATTTTCGATTGCCGATCAAAATGTATTTAGGTGCCTACATAAAATATCATACCTATTCGGTATTTCAAATCTATTTGTTAATTTATTTTTTATTACCAAAATATTTTAACATGAACTACCTGTAATAATTTATTATTATTCGCATTTTTTATCACACGGTACATGATAGACAGTAAAGTTCACAGTACAATTCTGTCTATACGAAGACCATGAAATACATAAAAATAATAATAATAAAAATAAGTCCGTTCATTCCAAAATATCTCATGAATAAATACTTAAAAAACCAAATACATTTTCAAATCGTTTTGTTAGTCTATGAATAATAAGCTTGCTCCGGACACTGATAGTAATATATAATATCATATTATTGTCGTTTCGTTATACAAAGACCCCACACATATTAATATTATCACAGTTTTATATAATCTGTGATAATATTATGGTATCCGCTTGCTCCAGTGATTTCGACCGAGAATGGGGGAGTGTGTGATACCGTGAACGTGGTTAACGTCAAGGCGTTCTAAACCTAACCACTGGTATAAAAGCGATGGTTGGTATAGTCACCCGCGGATTCGGAGTTTGACCATAGTAATATTAATAATAATAATAATAATAACAGTAAAAATAATAGTAACCATAAAGATAATCATAACATTTCAGTGCGTAAAAGGAGAAAAACATAACGCACCGGGAGTTCGACGGAGCGCACGCGCACCGGAAAAAATTTAGCCATAAAATTGTTTTGACGGGACGGACGTATAGCGGTATTTTATTGTCTTGTAAACGGGGTCATGCCCGTAGCGGCCACATGGAGTCAGTGGCGTTAACGTGGCTCCCGTCGAAGGCGTGTAATAAAAAAGGGGGAATTTTGAGTGGCGGCGGTGGTGGAAAAACATATCGTTCCGAATTCAATAAGATAAAAGGCGAAAAAAGCGTTGATGATATACGCGTGTGCGTAAAATATTGAGTATCATATTATGAAAATTGTAAAACTGCCGCCACCCCTCCACCCCGTAACAAACACGCGAATAAAGATAATATTTTTTTGGTTATAAAAAAAAGAAGAAGTTTACAGTGCCGTTTTCTGCGGGCCATAAATTTCCGATGTTTTTTTTTTTAAAGCTCGCGGTGTATATTATGATGTACCCCCCCCCTGCCCGAAATCCGGCATTGGATGTACTGCCGTCCACGTGTAGCCAATTTAATTTTCCGTCGTATAAACCGTCGAGGCAGGAAAACTCTTTTTCCGATATAAACTTCTTTATTTCGTTTATTTATTTTTACCGCGGAGGGATAAAAACTCATTTGCAGAAAGGTTTAATGAACCGGAGCGGGATTATACTATATTGTGTAACACGATAATATATTTACGTTATACACATACATATACCTTGGTATTGGTATAATATGACATAAGACCTACGAGCGTTATAATAATACTATTGACCGCTGAAACAGGTTACAGATGATCCTCGGACCCAGATTGCAATATTTATCACATGAATATTGTGTAATATAATATTATTGCCACCACAATATTCGGTACCTTGTGTATAACAACTGTAATACGAATAAAGGTCTAATTGCACCCCAAACTCTTAAAAGCCCGGTCAAAAAATATTAATATAATAAAATGTTTGTATACAATTGATGAACATTTAAAAAAAATACCGTGTGGTCTTGAGCAACACTGTACATTTTTCCTGTCTTTGTCACGGGTCTGGTGTGGTACCTATGTATTATAGTACCTAATATAATATATTATAATGTAATATATCAATGTGGTCACCGTACGACTTCGACATTTCGCTATACCTAACCTGTTACTTAAAAGTTCTCAAGTCGATAACTCGATATGCTCTCGTGATTACGACCACGGGTTGCCTTAATGTCATTATACTCGAAGTACACTTGACGAGAATCGACGATTAAGGGTACGATATATATTATATACTACGCTAGAGTTACGGTGAAACGGATTTTTCATTTCTTTTATCGTCGTCGCGTTCGCTAAATATTTTCGAAATTCGTAAAGGAAAAACATAATCCTTTCACGACGACACTCTTGCCGTACCTAAATAATAGTAGTCCATGTAGATACTTATAATAATAATATTAACGTCGTATTATACACATTTTTAAGGATTCAGCTTTCTCATTCAGTTCTCGTTGGAAACGGTCGGTTTGTACAGCAAAATTTAGTACCTATTACACGCGCTCTCTGTGTTACGCGTACAGTACATAATTTATTCTTTGTGCTATATAATATTTACTATTATAGTACATGTTCGTTCTTCATTCACTCTAATAGTCTAAAACGATTATGATACTGAGTGCGTCTGCAGGATAATAAATATTTAAAAAAACTTTCACGGTAAATATTTAATTTCTTGGCAATCGATTTGACGGACAAGTACAAAACAGTTAGTCTTTTCTCGATTTTTCATAATTTTTCGTGCTTTTGCGTTTGTTAATCATTTACTAACATAATAATAATATTATGTGTACGCTTCAGTGGCATCCATCCACGTGTCCATGGATTGCGGTCGTCATAATATAATCTCAGGATAAATGTTGCACGTCGATATTATCAACTGGCATAAAACCTGGCACCAATTAGAAATTCTATCTATGGTTTTTTTTTTTTTTTTAAATAATTTTTTGGTCTACAATCGAAATATTAGTAATACATTAATATAACAGTAGTAGAAAGTGTCATAATAGTTCAATCGTTGTTTGTATTGTGTAATCATTTTGCCTCTGATAACGTTATTTTATTAACATACTGAGATTCAGTATAATATCTAGAGTTATATGTATGTCGTCTTTAAGTATACAGATAATATTATTACAACTTATAAATCTATAGTGTATGAATAATACGCATATTGGCACACATTACTTGAACGTCACACTAATAAATTACATTTTGGGCAATACAGTTGTGACAAATAAAAGGATTCTCAAGTGATTTAATTGAAAATTAAAAATTCGAATCAAAGAGGGCCTGAAGAGGGTCTGTTTTGGAAAAATTGTTGGCGGTGGTCTACGGATAAATTACGAATATAAATATCACCATACGATAATTGTCGACTTCAGAGCCACTGTAGAGTGTGTATCGAATACTTCATATTATAAAACCACGTGGTCATAAACTCACGTTTGACCAACACGGCAGTGCGATACATGTACCTACATCTTGTTATTATTATTATTACGTTTAACAGCAGCGGTGTAAACCACCGTAAACAAACATCGATGGCGCGGTACAATATAATAGCATTATGATTTTGCAAAAACGTTGACGTCACAACGGACCTTAATATTTCCATTATCATAACGATATGGGTAATAATTATTATATTGTTATCGTCGGACTCGTTTGATGCGTTTAATTTCCGAACGATTATAATATCGTGTGTTATTGGGTAGAGTTATAATACGCGATTATTATACGAATGCCCCACCCCGCGCGTCCATCCCGGCTACAGGTGAAGCGTTTGGTAGGTATGCATTACAGTCATAAACCGGAATGGGTCTCAGTATATACAATAACGCAGTATTGTCTTTAACGAGTCCGATATAATATGCGCTCATCATCAGACCTCTCCTCATCACTGCAGCTCTTATATTTGCGCATATTATTGTTATTATTATTATTATTATTATCAACGTATAATTTAAGCGTAAAAGCTGTTCGCTGTTCGCGCCATTCGATTGAAACAAATACAATTAAAATGAATATAGGTACTCACCGCGGTCGTAGTACAATAATAATACAGTCAGACGTTTCGACGCAACTTACGGTTTTAACGATGAATAATAAGCGTCCCCAACAGCGTTTGTGTTACTCTTCGGCGTGCAGAGTGCAGACCATGGTTTGAATGGAAACGTGATTTTTTGAACGAGGAAAAACGACGCATGAAATGATAATATGACTCTCTTGTTATTGGTATTATTATGAAACGAACGAGATATCAAAACGGAATAGATGTCAGCCCAATCGCAATTTGCCAGTTCAACGAGCTGCAGCGCGCCAAATTTCATTTGCAATTTTTCGCATTCGCCCGAGCCGTAGAGTCGACGCTACGGCGCGGGCGGGCGGACGACCCCATCGGTCGATACAAATAATAATAATAATAATAATGCACACTTAACCTTCTGTAATAGTCAAATATGATATACTATTATATATGAACATAGAATAATATCTGCATCTATATCCTAGAGACTACTGGAGAATAGTATTGCACCGTGCAGCAATTTACTGTAAATTCAATATCACTGTACGGCGGTCCGACTCGTAGTCTATACGTATATTATTATTTATTATGGTAGGTACCTAACTATTATAATATCACATTATTGTATAACGTGATGTTACATGATGCACGTGTACAATGATAATATTTTGACTATTAATTATTACGCCGCGCGATGTAATAACAATATAATGGACACGGCGTTCGAAGGGTAAATACACGTCAGAAACGGTACCCGAGTAATTGATATTCTATTCCGATGTGGACCTCGCAGAACATAATAATAATGGTCGGCCGAGCGGTCCGTTCGTCGTGGTGATCGATCGTGTGTGCACGGCACGGCCGAAAATTTGTCGGTTTTGGAAGGGTTGGGAGGGAGGGTTGGTCGGCAGGACCGTAATGTCTCCTCCCTTCGTATGCAGCTGTAATACCTACCTATATATTGCATCGGAATATCGTTATGCTGTACATAATATTATATATAGTATATATAATATATATATACAATACGACCTCATTGTGATATCAAGTGTTGATGTTGTTTGTGTGATGTTTGCAGGAAGCCGAGAGTGCGATCGCCGCGATGAATGGTCAGTGGCTGGGCAGCAGGAGCATAAGGACAAATTGGGCGACCAGAAAACCACCGACGTTAAAAACCGACTGTGAGTACACTGCGAATAGCACCTATTAAATATTATTTAATTGTATTGTGGTCGTATTGATTTATAACCTCTCGCCGCTTTTTTAAAATTAAATTATTATTTCGCATAACGTATATTATAAATTGTTGTTGTTGTTGTTGTTGTTGTTGTTTCTTTCGATCTGACGTCGCTACCGCCAAGTTTGTTGCTCGTCGGCGGTACATTTCTCTACCAACATATTATATACAGCACCGTTGCAGGTGGGGGCGGTGATCAAAGTAAGGGGGCGTTCGTGGAGGGTCTTAAGGCCCCGTAGGTATCCCAAGGGAGTTTTCTGCGCTGAAGGCTTTTGTGTGTGTACGGACCCCACCAGGTTTTGCACTTCATTATTCATATCATAGCCAATCAAACGGGCCGAGCAGGCGGTGGCGGTCGGCAGCAGGGATATATTTTGCGTAGGTAATTTGTTCTAGCAACGTTACCAGGATTAAACGAACATTAAAATATGCTCGTCGGATGTTGCAGCAGGTGCATGTACAATAATATCATAATAATGCAGTGTGTACTGCGAAAGGAAAAACGGGATTATATTTTTATTATCAAAATATACCATTAGGCGCAACTTATTGTTGTACCCCCCGCCGACTCTCTCCTGCAGTATGAAATCTCTGGAAGTCGCGGAATGGGAAAAATAATAATATGAACATCGCGCCACCCGGCTGTGCGGGCCTCCGCCACCGACGCTCTCGCGTCATCGCTTCGTCCCTTTGCTGCGGGGAAAACTGATTGATTCTAGTTGACGTCCGCGAGTTGAGTAGAAATTCTACCGTCATTTATCCATGTCAAATCGTATTCCGTCTCCGGGCTCGCGTCTCACCTATATCCACGGAGGAGGGGGTGGGGGGTTGGAGGAAAAAAAATATGTGTCAGATATCCCAAGGCGATTCACGGCTGCCACGCCGCCGGCTGTGTACACATAATATATAATAATAATAATAATATGTGAATACACTTCAGGCTACATTACTGCAGCGTGTTTGTGTTGAATTTTGCAAACGGCACATGAGCGCTGTCAGATCCCATTGAAATTAAATCAAACCCGTGTAAAATATTCCGTTCCGTTTTCAGACGCAGCCCGACTTTTATGCAAGCGTTTCCCTCGGAACTCCGCGATTTCGGTCCTGACGTACGAACTTTGTTAAATTTTAGTGTAAGACGATCGTGCAATATTGTATCTCGCATCGAACAGCTCACGAAACCCGCGGGCTTATATTCGAACGCGTTCCGAGCGATAGTTTACCGCTCGATAAAATATTATGTTGTTATATTATTATACTTTAATAAGATTACATTGAATGGGATTTTTGAGTTGTTTCTTTGGAAAAGCGTATAAATAATAATTTAGGTACCTTTGTTTATTTTTTGTTTTTATTAAAAAGTACATCTATGACAGCAACGGCCATTTAAAATATCAGAAAAAGAGTATTCAGTTTTGTTTTTTTTTTTTATTGGAAAAAAAGAGGCTTCAACAACTGAGGTTATTAGCCTTGTAGGTGTTACATAGTGAGTGTTACATTAATTTTGAATTATAAAATACAAGTTATAGCATATAAATATTTTTGAGACATATAAAATTTTCATAATGTACATGTTGAAAATAATGATTTATAAGTTATTTATAATATTAATTTTTGTGAGGAAATTTAATGTTTTTGTGCTGTAGTCTTCATTTAGTGCTTCTTCTAGGTTGCCTGGTATCGATAGTGAGTTTCGTATATTTTGGAATGATGGGCAGTCTTGGATGATATGCTGTACGGATAGGTTTTCATGACATTCTTCGCAAATAGGTGGTGGGTCTTTACTTATTAGAAAAGCATGTGTCAGAAAAGAATGTCCAATTCTTAGTCTGGTTAGAGCAACTTCGTGTCGTCTGCTTAGGTTTTGCGGGATGTGCCACTTTTTTGTGCATTTTTTAATCTTTTTAAGTTTATTGGAAGGTGGAACGGAATCCCAGTGGCTTTGCCATACCATGTTTGTTTTTTGTCTAATTGATAGTATTATGTCATTAACTGGGATGTCAGTGATTGTAGGGAGGGCGATTGTTTTGGTTGCTTTATCTGCTGACATGTCGGCCATTTCATTACCGGCAATACCCATATGTGATGGAACCCACATAAATTCAATTTTTTTTGTTGTAAGGAATAATTCATTTTGGATGTTTTGGGTTATTTCATTGGACGAAAATGGATTTTGGAGAGCCAGGAGAGCACTTAGAGAGTCGCTAATTATGAGTATGCAGTTATTTGAGATTGTCAGCTTTGTTAGTTTGATTGCCTCTAATATGGCGTAATTTTCTGCAGAGAAATATTATTCAGTTATATAAGCTTAAAACTGAAATAAGTAGCTCACATCATTCTTTTATATCATATTCCGGGGTAGACATTGAACATGTACTGCAGTACGTTTGTTTAAAAATATATTTAATTTAATTATGATGTACCTATTTGTATTATTCGAAATAATTATCAAGAGCTATAATATTATATACGTATTCGGTTGATGGTTAGTAATACATAAGTTTATTTTCATCGTATCGTAAAATGTTTACGGCCAACTATTGCAAAAACGATATCAAGATCGGAGGAAACGCATATTAAAATGTTATTCTGAAACAAAATCAATTTTCAACGATGCAATTCATATGTACACTGTACAGGCCGGGGCTCACAATACACATTTGTTCGGTTTGTTTGCATTTTTTTTTTGTACACGACGACATAAACGTTCCGTCGTTCTGCTCCTCCTCGTCATAAGTCTTCGTGTGCTCACGAGTGTTGGAACGATTGGAGGACGTGCTTCAAAAAATTACGACGACTCGCACGTATTACGTTTCGTCGCGTGCAATTTATAACGATAAATGTAGACAATAATAATATAAGTATTATCATCATATTTTTTACCTCCACCCACTGGTTACCATCGAGTCTCTGTAGTAGGACGAAGTAAAATAACTCAAACTGCCAGCTGCCTAAAAAAACATCTTAAATTTTCTAATTGCCTTTACCGTCTTCAGCGCATAGGTCATATCAAAAAGTTAATCATAAAATATGCCATAGTTTTTTTCAAAAGAATTCCAATTTTAAATGATATTAAACGAACTATAATAAAACTATTTTAACTATTAATATTATATTATATAAAAGTGATATTTTTAAAAACAACGTACAACTACAATGCCGATCACCATACCAATCTGCAGTAATAACCAAGCAGTTATAACCTCGAAAAGTTTTCGAAAATATTTTTTAACATCGTTTAAAAGCATTACAAAACTTCGTTATAGAAAGAAATATAGTTGTTACTATTTTTTTTTTATCTTTGTAATTGTTTAAGTTTTTACCTATTTGAATGACAACATACATTTCTTTATTTTATACACGAAAGCATAATAATTTTCAGTAAATGTTGATAAAAGAGTAGTAAAAACAAGGAGTAGTTAATTACCTATAGTAATAAGTTATACAAGTATTAAAAGTTTAAACTGGAGCGGCGTTTTTATACCAAGAAATATATTGATATTAGCAATATCTATACTAAGATCGTCTAAACTTTTAACACATACAAGTATATAACTAATTAACTAGATATCATTAAATAGTAAAAAAACATTTTAACTATACATAATAATATAATATATTATGTATAGGTAGATCATTATTCATTATATTGTCAAAGGAGTAGTAGATATCTGTTGTGATTCATTGTAAAAATAATGAATTTAACACTTTTTAAATACTTTTATTACTGATATACCGTACATTAGATTACATTCAAGGCCTTATAGTAAAGTAAAGAGATATTTTACAATTTCAAAAAATGGATAAATTTGATACTCTAATCGCCTACCTTGTTAACCTGGTAGGCATTTTGAGTGAAAATAATAAGTAAGAAATTATTTCAGTAGCCAGCGACTACTAAGGTTATCCGGGGACGAAATCGGTAAAATTATATAATGTAGGAAACAGCTATAATGCGCCGCTGCTCATGGCGAAAATCTACAGGAAACGGTCGAAATCCGGTTAATTCTTAACCGTCGGTTATCGTAATATTATAACAATAACAACGGCGTCGACGGGTCGTGTATATTAATTAGTTGAGACTCGAGGAGCATTTGAATAATTGATTCAAATGGCAATGGCGGACGGTCATAACGCGAGTATAACAATAATAATAATAATTATTATTATTATTACTATTACTATTATTATTATGGTAAACAACGGACACACGACCACGGGCGCGAGTAGGTATATACTGCAGCTGGTACAACTGAAAGCTGACTTTACTGGTCGGTGTACATCTAACACACACACACACACACACACACACGTAGTATTGGATGACAACTAAACAAGTTATCTACTAGATGCATTTTTCTGGTGTTTTATCTCAAATTGAAATCGTTATTTCTTAAATTTAATCGTTAAATTATCTAGATGAAATTATCGTTGATCAAACTAGAAATCTATTTAATAATAAACTACAGCTCAGTACATCTGAAAAGTTAAGATAATGTTAATGACTGATAGCTAAGTGTTACCTATACTTAAAAATATATAAGACATTAATAATTTTTAGTTTTCTAATCCAACATCAAAAATAAAGTGTTATGCGCCGCAGTGTATGTACATTATATTTTATATTAGAATTCTAATAAAATTTTTCATAAGTACGACTAAAGACCTCAAAGTAATATGCATTATTTTATATGACATTTAAATACTACCGTCTCTTTTAACGAAAATCATACACACATACATGCAAAGATGATAAAGATTTCAAAAAGATTTGCATATTATATTACATTAGATTGTATATATTAGCCGCACGCTAAACCGGGTCAAATAAAATATATATTATATTAAAACGTGTTGGTGGCAGACGGAATTAAATTTGTACACCTTGTTTGCTCTTTTAAACGTGCACATCGACATTAATTGTCTTTCACAATATATACTAGA